TATAAGCCATTCTTCCTCTTTTCTGTTCTCCCCTCCCCTGAAAAAAAAAAATCCTCCCAGCTTTCATTCCCACTGAATGACTATAAGTAATTCCTTGATACATAACTACAGAGTCCCTGGATTATTCATCCTTCACCTTGAAGTTTTAGCTTCGGCCCACTGTCATTCAATGTCATAACTCCTATAATTTCAATGGCCATGTAGATAATTTTTCAACACTCTGGTCTCTTGATTTCTTGGTGTCCTCCCTTCAAAGATCTCATCTTCCACCCTACCTCAGTGACTTCCATGGTTATTTCTTAGAAAGTGATTTGCAGCCACTGGGAGTTTTTATAAATATTCTATTAAAGCACTGTTTCGTGAACAAGGTTATAGAGGGACATTTCATGTTGAACTTAGGGGTTCCTACTAGCAATCAATGGATAGGAGTCAAGACTATAGGGGCTCTATGGTGTGGTTAGTACTCACATGATAGATTGTCCCACTCATAAAATATCAACAGCACCCACACCGTCACCAGAAACTATTGCAACCCTTCTATAATTTGACTCAAACATTTTATTCTTCTATTACCACCTATATTTCCAGCTCACTCCCTCTATCTGGTATTCTAACTCTAATACTTTGATACAAAAAAAAAAAATTGTTGATCTTATTTCTTCTTTATGTCCATATTCCCCACTTAACATAGTTTGAATCCAATGATTATAATCAATCTCCCTTGTACACACCCTCAACTCCCTGGCCTCTAACCTCTTTAATCTCTTGGCAAATTCCAATTCTAGTTAAATTCAATTCTCTGTTCTGTGCATAACGGAATACACCTGGAGAAAAACACAAAATTATAATCACTGCTCTCACTGTAAACTCATGATCACTAGCCTCCAGTGGGCCCTTACCTCTGTCTGTCAGAACTTCATTTCTCAAGTCCATTCACTCTCCTATTCTTCTAAGTGACTATTTTACACCTTTTCCTTTCTCTTGAATCTTTCAACACTTTTCCTTGTTCTCACTCTCAAGTGCTGACCTTGCTTCTTCAGAATATAGAAGCAATCACATCAGAACTTGAATGACCTCTCACCCTGAATAGCTACTTACCTGTATCTGTACTCAAATTCTCTGCCTTTTCCTCTTGTTTCAATAGATGACCTATGGCAACCCCTCCCTATGTGCACTAGATCTTATGTCTTTTTGCCTTCTAAATAGAGGACACTGCATCAACAATTATTTCTTACATTAACATTTTGTGGTAATTCCTCACTTTGATCATTCTTCTGGCACAGGTGCTGTAAATTCTACATTAGAAAAAGGTCCCTCTTGACATCCCAGACCATGACTATTAAGTATTCAAAAAATATTTAGTATTAGGCTAATAGCCCTAATATTACTATATTAGGGCCTCTTACTATAATGAAGAGAGTAGGTATTGACCAAAAGAACAGAATAGAGGAGAGAGAGAGTCCCATGGCTATATGACAGATGACAATGTATAGATCACAGAGGGAAAAAAAAGGACCATCAATAAATGATGCTGGCTTAAATGGTTAACCATGTTTAAACAAGACAGAAAAATAGTACCCATTAAAGAAAAGTTTGATACAGCTGACTACAATAAAATTAAGAAAGTATGTTTTGTAAAAGATCATAAAGAAGTTGAATAGACAAGACACAAACTTGGAGAAGATATCTGCGAGGTATATGACAATTCATGTTAGAATCTAGAATATGCAAAGCTCTATAAATCAATAAGAAAAAAAATCTAATGGGAAAATGGGAAAAAAATTAAAAAATGAACACTGCATAGAGAGGAAACATTGTGAATCAATAAACATGAAAATAAGCACAATCCTATTACTAATCAGAAAACTACAAATTAACACTATAATGACCATTTTATACCCACAGTATTGGCAAAAACCAAAGTCTGACAATGCCAAGTTAATTATGGTGAACTCTTATACACTGCTGATGGGAGTACAAATTGGCCCAGGGAAGGTAATTTGGTATTATCTTGTAAAGTTAAAAAACCATAAAGTTAGTACTTTCAGTTCCAGTTACCCACTGTAAGGAAACTCTTATACATGTTTACTAGGAGACAAAATAAAAATGCTTATAGCAACATAGTTCTTATCTGCAAAAACCTGGAAACAACCCAAATGCCCATCAACACCAGAGTGCATAAATAAACTGTGGTGTGCTAACAAAACTAAATCTTTTTTTTTTAAAATATTTTTTAGTTGTACATGGACGCAGTGTCTTTATTTTGTTTATTTACTTTTTTTAATGTGGTGCTGAGGATTGAACCCAGTGCCTTATATGTGGGAGGCAAGCGCTTTACTGCTGAGCCACACCCCAGCCACCACAAAACTAAATCTTATACAACAATGAAAACTGAATCACCTCCTGCCACATATAATAACATGAAGGAATCTTAAAAGCACAATGGTAAGTATCTTTATTTTTTAAAAGTTCAAAACCAAGCAAAATTAATTGATTTTTAAAAGAATATATTGTTAAATATGTATGTACATTGTAGGTATGGACTAAAATTAAAAATAAAAAATCAATACAGTAGTGTTCTTTCTGGACAAGAAGATGGGACTGGAAAGAACACTTAAATATATACAAATTAACTCTAATGTTCTAGTTTTTGGGTTGAGTGATATGGTCACTGATATTTATTATAAAAATATTATGTTTTGTAACATATGTAATATATACATATATACACATAGACACAAACACACATATTCTTTTATGTAACAGCTATATTATTAAAAATGAGTTAAAAATAAAATGTTCTTTGGTTCTTACTAGCTATGAGACCCTTGGCTGATTCTTTCAGCTTTAGTTTCTCCAGCTAAAAAATTCAAGACAATGCTTACACACCTACCTCCTGGGGTTTGTATGAGGAATAAATAAAATAATACAAGTATGGCAGTTGGCACAGCATGTAGCACATAGGCTGCTATTGCTGTCAAGTAGCAACTAGTATTTTCTGAGGTGCTTTCAAGATATTCAAGTAGAAACAGCAGTTAGAAAAATATATCTACAATGCAGGAGGTACAGAGCAGAAAGTTATCAATAACACAACAACTGAAATCATGTCAGTGGGTAAGATGAATATGGGAGATCTTCAGTATACAAGTATGCTAAGACAGACTGAAGCAAGGAGCTCTAGAAAGACACTGAGAAGGAAGAGGGAGAGAAAGCAGAAGAGATTGGTTAACTGGAGGAAAAGTTAGGAGTAGAAAGTACTTAATGATATTAAATGCTGCAGAAGTAAAAATGAAGATTAATTTAAAGGGCATACTAGATTTGGCAAAGAGAGAACCACGAGAGACCTTTCCAACAGCAGCTTCAACAAACTGGTTAAAGAAGAAACAAGAGCCAGGCATGGTGGCGCACATCTGTAATGTCAGCAACCCAAGTTTGATGACAGTCTCAGCAATTTAGTGAAACACTCTTAAAAATAAAAAATAATAAGGACTGGGTATGAAGCTCTGTGGTAAAGTACCCCTGTGTTCAATCTTAGTATCGGTAGAGAGAAAAAAAAAAAAGAAGAAGAAACAAGAGTGCAATAGGTTTTCATGAGTAGGAGGTCATGAAATGGAGACTGGGAGAAAAAGAGAACTGTTTTTAAGAAGTTTAGAGATGAAAAGAGTACAATATTTGGTTGGTAGGAGCTATCTTCAAGATTAAGGGAGACCTGAGACTGCTTATATGCAGAGGGGAAGGAGCCAACAGAAATGAAGATGAAAGTATATAGGAGAGAAAGGGGACAATTTGGTACCTTGGAGGAAGAAAGATATGATATTCTGGACCCTGGAAAGGTGTGGATTAATGTTTCTCAAACTTTAATGTGTATATGAATTACTTGGAAAAGCTTTAGTTTAAATGCATATTTTAATTCAGAGTTTGGGAGAATCTACATTTCTAATAAATTCCCAGGTGATGTTGATGCTAATTGTTCAGAGACCATACTCTGAATAGTAAGGGAACAGAACAACCTTTCCCCTTTCACAATAAGTCCATTAAGTTCATCAAACTCAGAAATAAGTTTGGAAGGAAAGTGGGAGAGAAACTGTGTGTTTTTGCTACATGCATATTGAAGTTACCTGGGATGAAAAGAGCAGGTAGGATAAAAAGAAAATCAAGTGAGCCAGATATTCAAATTCTCAGTGATTGTTGGCAGGTGCATGCATCTGGAAAGGATTCAGGCAAAGGTAATGATAGGACTATTTACTAGAGAGACATCAAGAGAAGGAAGGCAGATAGAAAACAGAGGAAGGCTGAGCTGGGTGAAAGGAATAAGAGAACAATTAGAACCACAATACTTTTGAGAATAACTATAGAAAACTGGAATGAAGAAGGAAAGTTGAGAGGTGAACAGGATTGACATGAATAGGCAAGAACTCAGCTGAAACCAGAGGAGTAATATTTTCAGTGGGTTACTATTTTAAAATAATTTGATACTGTCCAACTAGTCTGCATAGAGAAAATGCTCATGGAAAATATGTAGGTGCAAACTCTGCTTTTATTACCAATTTTACAAATGTGCATTTGCTTGTGATGATGAAGTTAAATATCAACATTCAAATACTGCTTGAATATTTAAATATTTAGAGTCCCTACTGGTACATTCAATTACTTATTGCTTCTAGCAAAGCAGAAATAATATGTAATATACTATTCTGAACATGTCACTTTAAAAAGACTCTGGGGGAGAAAAAAAAGACTCTGAATTTTCTATGTTAGTTTGAAAAAGAATAAATCTGTAAGGAATTCCAAACTGACAGGCAGGTGTAATTCACACTCGACTCTCATTCGCAGACTCTAAGCATCCCATCATTTATTCAGGGTTTGTGAAAGGATGTATGTAGCAAGCTGAGAATAGCTCTCCATTTCCTAACACAATGTCTACTAATGCTGAGATACTAATTCTGAAGCAAAATGTCTTCTATGTTAAAAGAAGAAATTACGTGTGTATCCATCCTTACCCCTTCACTGGTTTTCTGCAAGTCTGAAGTTGTGTTTCTTGTGTCATTGCCGGCATCTCCACCCTCAGAGCTGCTTTTGTTTTCTTCTTCTTTGCAGTCTTTATCATCTTCATCTCCTGGAGATTTCCGGGATTGTTTAGAGGATTTCTAAATGTTTAGACAAGTTAAAAATTATAGTCAAAAGCAGAAATCCAAATGCACAAGTGTACATAAAAGACACAAAGATAGCGGCGTTGTATGAGCTACAATATGTAGGGTGCCCAGGCTTAATAATACTGGACAAGTCATTTTACCTCAATTAACTAGTTGGAAAGGGAAGTAGAGGTGAGCTAGAAGATCTTAGTTCTTTACACAAGTGTGATATTAAAAGCGGATTTGTGTACACACAACAGTTAATGAATAAATATTGCTGGGTGGACACTACTTTAGGACGGCTACAGAACCTAAAGGAACCCTAAAGGCAATCTAGTTCTGCTCATCACTTTACAGTAGTGAAAATGAGGTCCAGAGAAGTGAGTGAACTTTTCAAAATAATATATGGACATTCATGTTAGAATATTTGTACCAATGAGTGATAGAAACAAACTTTAATTTTTTAAACCATGGTTAGTTATTTAGGAACCCAAGGCTGTAATGGTGAATCAGTCCTTTTTACATGTCATCTTGCATTTAAAGTCAGGATAACTGTAGACAAAAATAAAAATATAAATACAGTTTATAGCAAGTTTCTTAGTAGGATAAAATGATAAAAAGCTGGCTTCAATTGTGTGCCTTATTTAAGACAGTAAAATGTAGCATTTTTCTAACACTTCTTCTTCAAGAGATTTTAAGAATTGTCAAGCCCATTGAAATAAGAGCTTAGCAAAACTGATTTAGCCAAATCACTTTTGGTCTTCCAGAAGTGAACTGGCAAACTGGAGCATCCTCACACAATCAATTTTTTAAAAAGCAATTTCTAAAGAGAAAATGCTTTCTAGTTATGTGACAAAATATATAATCAAATTGCTTCTATTTTTCTAAATTGGAACTACCAACCAAATCCAAATGTCAGTTAAAATGTGGTCATTTTTATTTTTTTATTAAGGGAAGGAGATTTAATAATACAAATGTGGACTGTCTAGACTTAAGGATTAAGTATAAAAACAGTAAACATAAAACACTTTTTGCTTTAATAAATATAGTATTGTTGAAATATGGTAACTGCTTCATACAGTAATTCTCAAATAATAACCTGCAATGCTTACAGATAAAAATGTACAACTCCTTGAAATCTGCAATACTTGTACAGGATATTTATGAGTAACCTTATAAGTGAGTCTACTAGATTTTTACTACTGAGTCACAATATTCAGAAATCTGTTCTAAGAAATCTGGCTGCCAAACCAGCAAAGCTCTTTGGATCCCCAGAATTCCTGAAAATTTGTTTTTTTAAATCAGTGTTTATCATGTGTTTTATCAATGTGGTCTCGAACTGATCTTTTGTCCAACTGCTGCTATCTTTACTTGTTAACTAAAATTATTGGTGCTTTAGTCTTCATTAGTTTAGTTGCAGTTGATAAGCCCTAATGTATTCAGTAAATCATTTATATGCAAAATGTTTTTGACCTATAATTTTGTTATGGCCCAAATATGAAGCATCCATATTCTTACTGATAAAGATATATATATAACCCTCAAATCTATTACTTTTCATTATGATTACTGAGCTTCCCCCCAACCCCAAATGAAATTAGGTGAGGTAGAGATGTGGGCCCTTTCCCTATACCTAACTGGGATGTAATAAAAAAAGTTTTGAACTACTAGTTTTTAAAAAGGAACACTATATAACATTAAGAGATAAATGTGTGGGGGGGAAACCCCCACCATATTAAGCAAAAAGAAAACCTTTGGGAAGCCAAAGAGAAAAATGGGATTATATTAGATAAACAGTTCTTTAAGTATGGCTCCTAGATTAGCAGCATCAGCCTCACATGGAAATTTGATTTCCAGTCCCTATCCTAGATTTCCGTAATAGAAATCTGGGATGTGTAAGATCTAATAATATCATTTTTAAAAGTCTTCCACGTGATTCTGATGTATGTGAAAATTTGAGAATCAAACCAAAAAGTAATAGTTCTGGGATGGAGATGCAGTTTAGTGGTAGACCACCTTCTTAACATGTGGAAGCCCTGGGTTAGATCCCCAGCACCACAAGGAAAAAAAAGTCATGGTTCTTAAGTGATCATGGAAATCATGTTCTTGAGGCAAAGCAAATTAAATGCTCCTTGAAAACAGGTAAGTCTTAGTAAGTAAAGTATGTATTTACCCCTACACTCTTTTAAACTGTAAATGTGTTCCAAGGATGAGCCCTTATATTACTTCTGGTCTTTGCAACAAGCAATTATGCAGTGGAATTTAAAAGCCACATATCCATAATGTTAAAAGTCTAGACAAACTTAGGTAACTAAGAGTTGTCACAATACATTACAAAGAGGCTCAGCTGTCAATCATAAATTAAATAAAATCAATTCAAGTAGGTGTTTTAAGTCCAAAATGCTGCATAGGTGCTGATAGGTGATTCTGCTAAGGTGCTCATGAGCCCAACGTGGGCTAGAACTTCGGGCTTTGGGTTTTGGGAGCCAGCCTCAAAAAAACAAATAAACAAACAAAAAAAGCAAAACTTGGGAATCAACTTAATGAAAGAGGTGAAAGATCTATACAATGAAAACTACAGAACCCTAAAGAAAGAAGTCAAAGAAGACCTTAGAAGATGGAAAGATCTACCTTGCTCTAATTCTATCAAAATGACCATACTACCAGATACAGATTTAATGAAATTAAACAATATACAGATTTAATGAAATTCCTATCAGAATACCAATGGCATTCCTTATAGAAATAGAAAAAGCAATCATGAAATTCATCTGGAAAAATAAGAGACCCAGAATAGCTAAAGCAATCGTTAGCAGGAAGAGTAAAGCAGGTGGTAACCCTATACCAGAACTTAAACTATACTACAGAGCAATAGTAACAAAACCGGCATGGCATTGGCACCAAAAAAGACTGCTAGACCAATGGTACAGAATAGAGGACACAGAGACTAACCCACAAAATTACAATTATCTGATATTACACAAAGGTGCCAAAAACATGCATTGGAGAAAAAATAGCTTCTTCAACAAATGGTACTGGGAAAACTGGAAATCCATAAGCAACAAAATGAAATTAAACCCCTATCTCTCACCATGCACAAAACTGAACTCAAAGTGGATCAAGGACCTAGGAATTAAACCAGAGAAACTGCGTCTAATAGAAGAAAAAGTGGGCCCTAATCTTCATCATGTGGGATTTAGGCCTCAACTTCCTTAATAAGACTCCTAATAGTGTAAGAATTAAAACCAAGAATCAATAAATGGGATGGATTCAAACTAAAAAGTTTCTTCTCAGCAAAACAACAACAACAAAAACAATCTGTGAGGTTAATAGAGAGCCTACATCTTGGGAGCAAATTTTTAACACTCACACATCAGATAGAGCACCAATCTCTGGAGTATATAAAGAACTCAAAAAGCTAATCAGCAAAAAACCAAATAAGCCAATCAATAAATGGACCAAGGACCTGAACAGACACTTCTCAGAAGAGGATATACAATCAATCAACAAATATATGAAAAAAGTTCATCATCTCTAGCAATTGGAGAAATGTAAATCAAAACTACTATAAGATATCATCTCACTCCAGTCAGAACGGCAGCTACTATGAAGACAAATAATAAGTGTTGGCGAGTGTGGGGAAAAAGGTACACTTATACATTGCTGGTGGGACTACAAACTGGTGCAGCCAATATGGAAAGCAGTATGGAGATTCCTTGGAAAACTGGGAATGGAACCACCATTTGACCCAGCTATCCCTCTCCCCGGTCTATGCTCAAAAGACTTAAAAACAGCATTCTACAGGGACACAGCCATATCAATGATTATAGCAGCACAATTCATAAGAGCTAAACTGTGGAATTAACCTAGATGCCCTTCAGTAGATGGAAGGATAAAAAAATGTGGCATATATATGCAATGGAATATTACTCAGAAATAAAAGAGAATAAAATCATTGCATTTGCAGGTAAATGGATGGTGTTGGAGAAGATAATGCTACGTGAAGTTAGCCAATCCCCAAAAAACAAATGCTGAATGTTTTCTCTGATATAAGGAGGCTAATTCATAGTGGGGTAGGGAGGGGGAGAATGGGAGGAATAGACGAACTCTAGATAGGGCAGGGGAGTGGGAGGGGAATGCAGGGGGCAGGGGGTTAGCAAAGATGGTGGAATGTGATGGACATCATTATCCAAAGTATAGGTATGAAGACACAAATTGGTGTGACCATACTTTATATATATAACCAGATATGAAAAATTGTGCTGTATAGGTGTAATAAGAAAATAAAAAGTCCAAAATGCTAAAGAAATTCAGTTTAAAAATAACTGCAATGGAAGATATAGTCTGACAGGAACAGGGAAAATGCTAATTATTTTGTTGTCAGTTGCAAACATTATCCTCACTCAAAGCAACTGCATGTTTTTCACTAGGTTCACGGTAAGTAATGCTGAATTCACAAAATTTTACCTGTATGTCAATAGGGTAGATTTTAGGGACTGTCAAAATGAAATGTTAAGAGTCTGATTAACTCTTGGTACTTGTTTTTTCTTTTAATATTTTTAAAGTTATACATAAACACAACGTCTTTATTTTGTTTACTTATGTTTATGTGGTGCTGAAGATTGAACCCTGTGCCTCACATGTGTGAGGCAAGTGCTCTCCCTCTGAGCCACAACCCCAGCCCTCTTGATATTTGTTTTAAGGAGTTTCCTAAGTACAAGAATCTAAATGGAAGTAATTTTTCCAAGTATTTAGCTGTGTGACTGAAACCTGAACCAATCTTGGATCTTCAAGGATCCATTTATCTTGCTTTCAGTTTCTAAAATGTGTAGTTTTCACAGTTTTGGTTTTTTCAACTGCATTTCTGAATTACTGTGAAAAAACCTAGACTTTGAATTTGTAAATACATTATCATGCTACTGTTGTTTAAAATCTTCAATTATTATTATAATCGGAATAAAATCCATACTCCATAATATGGCTTACAAGTGGGCACTTTCCTATATAGTTATGATTCTCCAATAGCACTTGCCTTCTTTCAGTTTAGGAATACTGAATTCTTCCCTTCCTCAAAGTTTTGCTGCTCTGTTCCTTTCCTTCTGCCACATATGGCTCCTTTCTTCCTCCCATACCTTTCTTTTAGGTCTCAGCATAAACTTTACCTTTATAGAAGGACCTAAAGTAGATTTCCCTACTCTGTCACTCCTTGCAACCATTCATTTCTTTCATAACCTTTCACAGTTTATATTTACTATTAAGTTACATGAGGGCAGGGATGGAGTTGGATTTGCTCACCACTGTCCACTTAGTTCAGTGTCTGGAACAGACTAGGTGATCAGGAAATATAAGAACTGAATAAATAAAAAAGTCAAAGCACATTCTCTGAAACAGAAAGACAAGTAAGAATATATCTTTATATTTACATATATAGTATTGAAACGTAATGTGTCTCTTATATTCTTAAATTGCTCAGATCTTGTTTCAAAGTCATTGTAGGAGGCATAGCTATTTATACACTATATCCTTAACTAAGGAACAGTTCTCCTCCAACTAAGGTGGTATTTTCAGGGCCAAGTGAGCCCTAAAGAGTCAATTGCCAGATTGCCTAACATCTAAAATTACCTGTCATAGTCCCTCTGCTCTATGTATATTGTCTCAAAGGGAGAGGTTCCACAGAATCTAGAATATATATCTATGTGCCCAAGAAATGAATATAAAATAATCTAAAAACTTTTTAATGAATATATATGTAACAATAACAATGGGGAGTTTGTCAGTACCTTTGATGTGTATGACTTTTTCCGTTTTGAGCCTCCTTTTTCATTTTTTCTTTTGCCTTTTCCATCTTCTTCTACTCTATCACCTTCTTCCTCACTACTTGCATCTGCAGTGTTTCCTCCTTCTCCCTCAGTTTCTGAAGAGCTCTGTTGCTGAATTGCCTAAGGAAAAATATTAGCTAATTACATTTTTAAAAAATAGAAAGGAAGACAGACTGTGACAAAAATCACTCTATTTTAATCTGAAAGGGTTCAGTTTATTCATAAGATTTTCAAAAGAAAAGGCTATAAGAGCCAGGAGAATCTCTTGAACCCAGTAGTTGGAGGCCAGACTGGGCAACAAAGTGAGACCCTGCCTCCATCAAATAACCAATAAATGGCTGTCAAACTCAACTTTTCAGTAGTCCTCTGGATGAATTGTATTTAATCCAAAATACTACTAGAGCCAAAAAGAATTCTGACTTCAAATGGATGGGCAAATTAAAAAGATTTGAAAAGTATTAAAACCAAAGAAATGAGGTAAAGCAAGTGACAATTAAATAACCATTACCTGGTATCCAGTAAACTTGACTCCTGGGTTATTTTCTATTTCCCACAATCCTTCATTAAATCCTTTCCGTTTGTTTGACTTCCCAAACTTGTCTTTGTATTCCTTATATGGAAAAAGGTCTTTGGGACCTAGAAAAGCACTGCAGATACATATTAGAATCAACATGCTGACCTTCACATATAATATGTTAATTATCAACATAAACTCAGCTGTCAGAGCATATGATAGTAAACAAATTAACAGTCTATAGGAACTTTCAGTCAGGCACATATTACAAGATGTCTTAGACACATAGTTCAAAGTATAAAAAACGGATCTCTGACCATACAATTCAACAACCCTGGAATGTGCTACTTTGATTTTAATTTTAAATTACTAGTGTCTTCTTTGTTTTAACATTGATTTTCAGGTACACATCATCTCAAACTAAGATTTATTTGTGTGAATCTTATCACAGATATGGGTTTTGTGAAATTTACAATAAAAACATAAATACTGTAATTAAAAAACAGATCCATATTAGTAAATTTATTTACTAATATTTCTTTAAATTAAAAAAATCATATTTGTTTAATGAGGCACTAAGCAAGGAAAAAATCTGGAGTAGAAAAATAAATAATCTTACTCAGTTTAACCGTATCCAAAATTAACCATAACCATTAAAAAATGAGTTAGAGGGCTGGGGATGTGGCTCAAGCAGTAGCGCGCTAGCCTGGCATGCGTGCGGCCCGGGTTCGATCCTCAGCACCACATAAAAACAAAGATGTTGTGTCCGCCGAAAACTAGAAAATAAATATTGAAAAATTCTCTCTCTCTCTCTCTTCTCCCTCTCTCTCTCACACTCTCTCTTTAAAAAAAAAATGAGTTAGAGGGGCTGGGGTTGTGGCTCAGTGGTAGAGCGCTTGTCTAGCATGTGTAAGGCCCTGTGTTACATCATTAGCAGCACATAAAAAAAATAAAGGTATTGTGTCCATCTACAACTAAAAATATTTTTTAAAAATCTAAAAAAAAGAACAAAAAACTCGAGTTAGAATAAATTCTGGGGCTAGCTAACAGATGTAAACATTCAAAACAGAGTCTTCAAAAAAAAAACAACAACCCTTGGGAATCAATCTAACAAAAGAGGTAAAAGACCTCTACAAGGAAAACTATAGAACACTAAAAAAAGAAATTGAAGAAGTAGAAGTATGGAAAGATCTCCCATGTTCTTGGATAGGAAGAATTAATATTATCAAAATGGTCATACTGGGCTGGGGTTGTGGCTCAGTGGTAGAGCACTTGCCTTGCATGTATGACGCACTGGGTTCAATTCTCAACACCACATATAAATAAATGAATAAAATAAAGGTCCATCAACAACTAAAAAAATAAAATAAAATAGATAGTCATACTACCAAAAGCATTATACAGATTTAATGCAATTCTAATTAAAATCCCAACAACATTCTTCATAGAAATAGAAAAAGCAATCATGAAATTAATTTGGAAAAATAAGAGATTCAGAATAGCCAAAGCAATCCTTAGCAAGAAGAGTGAAGTAGGAGGTATCACAATACCAGATCTTAAACTATACTATAGAGCTAGAGTAACAAGAATGGCATGCTATTGGCACCAAAACAAACATGTAGACCAATGGTACAGACTAGAAGACACAGAGACAAACCCACATAAATACAGTTATTTCATATTAGACAAAGGCACCAAAAACATACATTGGAGAAAAGATAGCCTCTTCAACAAATGGTGCTGGGAAAAATGGAAACCATATGCAGCAAAATGAAATTAAACCCCTATCCTTTACCCTGCACAAAACCCAACTCAAAGTGGATCAAGGACCTATAAATTAGACCAGAGACTCTGTGCCTAATAGAAGAAAAGTAGGCTCATATCTTCATCATGTCAGATTAGGTCCTGAATTCCTTAACCACACTCTTAAAACATAAGAAATAAAATCAAGAATCAATAAATGGGATGGATTCAAACTAAAAAGCTTCTTCTTAGCAAAGGAAACAATAATGTGAAGAGAGAGCCTACAGAGTGGGAGAAAACCTTTACCACATGCACATCAGATAGAGTACTAATCTCCAGGATATATAAAGAACTCAGAAACCATAATACCAAAAAAATAAATAACCCAATCAATAAATGGGCTAAGGAACTGAACAGACACTTCTCACAGAAGATATATAATCAATCAACAAATATATGAAAAATGTTCAACATTTCTAGTAATTAGAGAAATACAAATCAAAACTACCCTAAGATTTCATCTCACTCCATTCAGAATGGCAATTATCAAGAGTACAAGCAACAATATGTGTTAGTGAGGATTTGGGGAAAAAGGTGCACTCATACATTGCTAGTGGTACTGCAAATTGGTGTAACCACTCTGGAAAGCAGTATGAAGATTCCTTAGAAAACTTGGATGGAACCACCATTTGACCCAGCTATCCCACTCCCCGGTCTATACTCAAAGAACTTAAAATTATCATACTACAGTGGTGCAGTCACATCAATGTTTATAGCAGCTCAATTCACAATAGCTAAACTCGGGAACCAACCTAGATGCCCTTCATTAGATGACTGGATACAGAAACTGTGGTAGATATACACAATGGAATATTACTCAACAATAAAAGAGAATAAAATTATGGCATTTGCAGGTAAATGGATGGAGTTGGGGAATAAATATCATGCTAAGTGAAGTAAGCCAATCCCCAAAAACCAAAGGCTGCATGTTTTCTCTGAGAAGTGGATGCTGATCCATAATGGTGGGGGTGGGGCTTGAAAAGAATAGGGGAACTTTTGATGGAGAAGAAAGGAGTGAGGGGAGAGAAGGGGGCAGCTGGTAAAAAAGATGGTGGAATGAGATGGGTATCATTACCCCAGGTGCATGTATGATTGCACCAATGGTGTGACTGTACATTGTGTATAACCAGAGAAATAAAAATTTGTGCTCCATTTGTATACAATGAATCAAAATGCATTCTAGAAGAAGAAGGAGGAGGGGAGGGGGAGGGGGAGGGGGAGAAGGGGGAGGGGGAGAAGGGGGAGGGGGAGAAGGAGGAGAAGGAGGAGAAGGAGAAGGAGAAGGAGGAGAAGGGGAAGGGGAAGGGGAAGGAGAAGGAGAAGAAGAAAGAAGAAAGAAGAAAGAAGAAGAAGAAGAAGAAGAAGAAGAAGAAGAAGAAGAAGAGAGTCTTTAGCATCAGTATCTATGACTCACCTGATAAATGAGACTGTGGAGGCCCACATTTTGGTTGATGCACCTCAAACTAAGATTTATTTATTCATTCAACAAATATTAATTAAATATCTATAATGTGTAAGGCAGTATTCCAGAGGTGCTAGGGATTATACAGGGAACAAGAGAAAACATTTCTGGCCTCATGAAGCGTATGTTCAAGTGGCAGAATAATAAAAGAAAAAATAAATAAAATATAGTCTATATGCTTAAAAAAAAAAGGCAGAGAAGATGGACAAGAAGGCCTGGGGGTAATTTTCACAAATTTAGATATAAAGATCAGAGAAAGCCTTACCAAAAAGGAATATCTAAGTAAGGAACTATATGAGATGAAGGAAAACCAATGCAGTTACCTGGGAAAGAACAGAGAAAGCAGGTTGAAGCAAGAGCAAGTACAAAGGCTCAAAAGTGGAAGAAGGTTTAGTGTAGCTGAGAAACACAAGAGACTAAAGTGAAAAGAAACTAAAGTGAAATGAGTGACTAAAGACCAATGCGACGAGCTCAGAGAAGTAGGGACACAGAATATGTAGGGCCTTGGAGGTCCTTATAAATGCATTCAGTGAGATGGGAAGCTAAGCCATGAAAGGTTTCAATAAAAGAAGTGACTTTTCCCTCCCCTTTTTTCTTTTGCAGTCCCGAGGATGGAACCCCCAAAAGCTTTATCACTGAGCCTTTTAATTTTCTTATTGATTGTTGAGGTGGCCTTGAATTTGTGATCCTCCTGCCTGAGCCTCCCAAGTAGCTGGATTATATGTGTGTGCCACTGCATCTGGCCAATTTATATTTTAATGCCATCACTTTTTCTGCTGTGCTGGAAGCAGATGGAAAGGTTAAGTACTAGGGTGGAAATAGGGACACTAATTAGAAGGCTACTGAAATAAGTATGATGACTAGGACCAAGATGTAAATAGTATAATTGGTAAGAAGTTGCCAGATCCTGAATCTATTATCAAGAAAGATCCAGATAATTTGTTAATGAGCTGGATATGGCATGTGAGAGAAAGGACAGACTTGAGGATATTGCCAAAGTTTTTGAAACAACGAAATGAAAAGAATGGGGTCAACATTTATTAAAATGTAAATATTTCTTTGAAGGATAAGATTTGGGGATGAAAAGCTCAGTTGTGAATGTTGAGTTTGGTATCCTGGTTAGACATCCATGAAAAGATGTGATGTTAAATAGATATTTGGATGATTCTGGAGTTCAGGGGAAAATTCTGAGCTGGGGATAGTAATTTAGAAATTATCAGCAAAGAAATGACATTGAAAGCTTTCAGACAATAGGTTAACAGTTCATTCTTGAGTTTTGTAAATTTAATTTTCTGACTGGGTCTTAGAAATGATCTTTCACATTGTCATCTGATTAGAAAGTCGAGAAGGTGAAAGCTTTCTGACCCTAGGGCATAGTGCTCTTAAGAAGTGCTAAATCTTTTCCTGATTGTTCACCTTTAATTCCTCAGTCAGCATGATTCTGTATCATTGAACTCAGAGATAGTTTATATTGGGTATTTTAACTAAAAACATGTCAAAGTCATACTTGACAAACTAAACGTGAACACTAGAAAGAAGTGGACACTGAATATGACCACTTCACTTTCAGAGAAATTTGTCATGCATTATTACTCTGGCTTTTGACCTTTTCTAATCGTTGACTATGTATGGGGAATAACTGTGGATTAAGTTGTCTAATGTTCATACCAGCTATAGGTGCTAGCCAGAGCTTGTCTGTCCTTTAACAATGCCACAAGAGTCAAGGCTAATCTCTATTATTTTTTGATGTGTTAATTTCTGGCCTTCTTATTTTTACATTTTTTCCTTAATTCTACCTTTGTTTTTATGAGCTGCATGTCTTTCTGTTTAGAGAACAGAAAGCTTTCTCTTATGAATAAATAAGTTGTTATACTAATATTCCCCAGGAATGACTTTGACAACTGGCCATGTTACTTGTTGCCAGAAAGAGGAACACTGAATGAACTATTCTAAAACAAGTTCTTATTTTTGATACACGACTCTGTTTTTTCCTGGTTTATAGGTAATTTCACAAATCAACTCACCTATCAGTTGGTAAACTTCGTTATATGTATGTTTTATGAAGCTTACAGGGCAGGGCAGAAAACAAAATTGTTGAAAGCCGTGAGCTTTAAGGTTGAGGTTTTTTCTTGGCTAGGATCTTGAAAATCATCTAGACTGAAACTACTAGGGTTATGTTACATGGAGGAGAATTTGGATTTCCAATCACCTACCTGCTGGGCATTAGACCAGATTCAAAGCCATGTTTTGGGGAAAATTCTGGCCTGACCTGGGGGAACCCTTGGCTGAACTGAATACAGACTTTTGTTAAATTCCTCCTACTTCACATACTTCCCCCTCCTCATTTATTTCATTTAATTAATGTTAATTCATTCAATAGCTATTTTGTAGAATACCTACCACAGGCCACACAATGTGCTGAGTGAGCACTGTCATGTAGGGTAAGCAAACTGACATGATCTCTGCCTTTATAGAGAGGGTGAATATTAGTACCTACCAAGGCAAGTATAACCTCAGGCTCAGGGATACCCAATTCTTAGAAACAGTTCAACAGAAACAATGTTATGGCAAGTTTTTGGCAATTCATTCTCCTTCAGATATTTTAAAATCTACTTCTGGATGATCAAACCAGAAAAAAAAAAAATCACATGTGAATTATATTATACTCATCCTTGGTAGAACTTCTTTTACTGAAGTCAGTCTTAGAATGATGCCACTGAATTACATTAGAATACTACAAAACAGAGTGCTATACGATCCTTTACACTGTTCCCTAGAATAAGTCTGTTACATTCACCAATCACATGCTAGTTGGCAAGTTCAGCAGGGACAATTTTTATTTCCAGTGCCCCTTGAAAATAAATATTTACTAATGGAATAAAAGTAAACACACAATGTTTATAAATGATTGCTTTGGGTGTATACAATAGTAATGTGATAATTTTTTTTTTTTTAAATCCTACCTGTCCCAGAAATACAACCATTACGTGGAGACAAGTTATCATAAAGAAAAAATTAAACTTTCACTTAAGAAACGTACATTATTAAGCCTGGTAACTTAAATAATTGATTACAATGACTTTAATAAAATATAAAATGTTATAGGTCACTTATAAACAAGATAATCTAGCAGACCTAAATTAGAGCTACTGAAACTTTAAGTTATTTTGTTGACTTACGTTTCATGAGTGCCAAAAAAGAAGATAGGATACTTGTTTGCTGGAGGCTTCACAGCTCCCTCTGGGAGTTCATCAATCTATTAAAGATAAATTTAGTTATTAAATAGTTATCATAAACACAATATAAACATTTCTTTGATAATTTATTGCTAATTTTGGAATATAATTTATCAAAATCTCAAGTTTTTTTCTTAAGCTTTACAAAATGATTCTAAAGGTCATGGAAGTTAAAACAGTAAATTGATTATAGCCATTATGATAATTCATAGGCAGGAGCCAAAACTACTAAATTCCTTTGATCCAATAAAATTACTCCTGGGACTCTGTTCTAATGAAATAATCAAAAGTAACAACAAAGAAAAAAAAAGATGTACATATTTGAAGACATAGTGAATATGTATATATATTACATATACATTGTATATATATGTATAACTTACATGTTGCAAGACAGGAGAATTGTAGAAAATTAAACTGATGAAATATTATGTAATCATTAGAAGACAACATCTCTTGCCTAGACTACTAGCCTCTCTTCCCACCCCTTTAAGTTAGAATTAGCTTTTAAAATGCACATATGATGTTACTTCCTTGCTTCAAGTCTTTCTATTGCTTTTTATTGCTTATAGCATTCCTAATTGTACATCTAAATTGCTTCTGGAGATTTTAAAAATAAGAAGTATGTTGGCCTTTCCCTAGACCTTGAGGCTGAGAACCCTGCATAGGATAAAGTCTAAACTCCTTAGAATATCATATAGTTACACATACATTATTACTTAAAATGTTTCAAAAAATAGTCTTTGACCAGTCTAAACTCAAATGGCTCTTTCTCCATGTCGTGATTCAGCAATATGCAAATACATAGAACTGTTTATAAATATACAATTTCTTTCATAGCCTTCTCAGATAGTTGACCTTCTCATTTTTCAGACACATACACTGTTCATTTATAAAAATGAGTATTTATTTACAAAAAGAAAATAAGTTACAAGAAATAGCCAGCATGTTTCTTTTCAGACCTCTTTAAAAAGGTGAGGCCCCAGGAATGTTTTTCAGTTTTAATATGACTTCCCCTTTCCACCTTAAATACTACAACTACCACCATTCACAGAGGTCCTGACCATGAAATTCTGAATGTAGGAGCCATGTCTTATTAAAAATTCTATCCCTGGGCTGAGGATGTGACTCAAGGGGTAATGCGCTCGCCTGGCATGCGTGGGGAGATGGGTTCAATCCTCAGCACCATATTAAAAAAAAAATAAGAAAGATGTTGTGTCCACCAAAAACTGAAAAATAAATATTAAAAAATTCTCACTCTCTCTCTTTAAAAAAAAAAATTCTATCCCTAATCCTAGTGACTCAGGAGGCTGAGGCAGGAGGATTACAAGTTTGAGGCAAATTAGTGAGGCCCTAAACAACTTGGACCCTATCTCAAAAAAATAAAAGGGCTCAGTGATAAAGTGCCTCTTGATTCAACCTCCAGTACCCAAAATACAACACAAAAAAGCTAACTCTCTACTTCTATAGTTTAGATATGGTTTAAATGTGTTCCTCAAAACTTATGCACTGGAAGCTTGGTCTGAAGAAGTAGCAGGATCTTTAAGGGTGGCGGGGGCTAGTGGGAGGTTGTTAGGTCATCAAAGGCATGCCCTTGGAAGGAACTAAGGTAGTTCTCATGGGGCTCATTAGTTCTTGAGAGATCAAATAGTTACATAAAAGCCAGAGCCTGAATTCCTCTCTGGTTCCATGTCTACCACGTAATCTCTTTTTATACATTCCCACCATTATGATACCATCTGCTATGATGAGACGTAGCCAGAGCAGCCCTTGTGAGAACTGGAACCATGTTGTCTGGTCTCGAAAACTATGAGTTAAATAAACCTTCTTCCTTTACAAATTAGCCTCAGGTATTTCATTAGTCTTAGAAAACTGACTCATATACCTACAATCAAGCATAATTTCTGACACATAACATTGCTTTAAAAATTTCACTTATTTAAAAAAGTGATAGTATGGAAAAAGTTTTACGACACAATGTTAAAAAAATGAACATTTAATAATTTTATATACATATTTTTACAGGTAGAGACTGGACTGGAATATGAAAAATATAAACACAAGTGTGAGGTCAGGGTTATTAAGGTAGAACATTTTTCTCTCTTAAATTTCTTTTTTGTTGCCATAGTTATAATTTTGCAGGAAAACAAATTCTTTATATCAGAAGGTTACAATGACCATTCTGTCAATGCAAAATTTCTGGTATTTCTTTCCTGTTGTTAATTAATAATACACTTTAAAGATAAAGATAGATCATTTCAGTAATTAAGATTTTTGATTCAAAATATCTCTGATAATTTAAATTGTGAGCAGAATATCTGCTTCTGACTATGTTGTAACCAGTAACAAACTAGCAATCTCAGAACTAGTCAAAATATACTAATTGTTTTTGGGCTTTGGACAAGTGGCACAAGACTATAATTCCCAGGAAAAGATAAACTCCAAAGGGAAGACTCATAATTATCTCTATAATTATCCTTTTCCCCACAATAGCTTTTTAAAATTTATTTTTATGTGTTGCTGAGAATCAAACCCAGTGCCTCAAACATACTGGGCAAGCACTCCACCACTGAGCCACAACCCAGGCCACCAGGGAACTAGATTCTAAGCAGAACTGATAAGAGCTGAGGAAGCAAAATCAGAGATTGGTGTAGCTGAACTGACTAGACTATACAGAATGTGCTCTGGAAAGGATGAAGTTGTGCAACTAGGCATCCCAGAAGTCTATGTGGAGAGTCCTTGTGAGTTTTTGACCAGAGACTGGGTAGATTTATGAAGACACATACCAAAGAATATTTGTCATGGAAATTATATTAGAGGTATTATAAATCAATTAGTTCAGAGGACTTTGAAAGTCCAGCTATAGTGTAGAAATCTTTTAATCACCTCTTTAAGACCTCAGGCATCTAGCTGAGACACAAGTTAAGTTTGCCCTAAGAGTAAGGTATATATGGAGACCTACTCCATAGCTGTCTTAACAGTTTACTATGAGGCCTTGATGAGAGAGGCTGAGTTCCAACAAGTTATCTGAGCTTGGGAAATACCTTGGGCTTTACACATATTCCTCTAAAGAAGTATAAAACCAATATGAGAGAGGTAACTTGAATCATGGTCTTTGACTGCCTGTGGGTTGTGACTGTTTTGATCTGGGAACTTTCTGTGCACAGGTGCAGGACAAGATTTCCCAGTTGCTATGGTGATGCCCTGCCTGAGGAAGTTCTGTGCAAAGCACGGAACTATCAGTCTTGGCCCTGAGTTCAGACTCCAGCTGCCAGGGATACAGAATTATGAGTGTAACTAGATAATTATAATTGTTTGCAAGTGCTTTGACCTCCAAGCCTGCCTGCTCTAAAGAAATTTTTCCACAGAAACCACTTTTGATGATAATGACCTATATAATAAACATGCGGAGCTAGCTCTGGGTCATTATTCCTCCATTAGAATATGGTGTCCCACCTGGTCCCAACTTTCTCTAAGTGTTTGTCTTTTTTATTTTTTATTTTTAGTTGGACCCAATACCCTTATTTTATTTATTTATTTTTATGTGGTACTGAGGATTGAACCTAGGACCTTGCACGTGCTAGGCAAGTGCTCTACTGATGAGCTGTAACCTCAGCCCTAAGTGTTTGTCTTTCTTAATCTCCCATTGCCCCTCACCAGTCTAAGGTTTGGCTGCTCAGGTCATGGCAACCAAATTATCCAAATAATTGTTTGCAAATTACTACCCTGAAGAAAAGAGGAAAATACAACCTATAATTAAGAGAATAAGAAGTCTATAGAAACTGATTCCCAAGATGTTACAGATGTTTTAGGAGATGAAGACTTGAAAACAGATCTATGTGAACTTAATGAGTGGACATAGAGGGAACCTGAGCAGAAAAATAAAAATAAAAAGAACCACATGAAAAGTATAGAACTGAAAGTATAATAACTGAAATAAAAAATGCACAGTGGGCTTGACAGCAGAAGAATGAGTTAGTGAATCTGAAGATAACAGAAATTATCCAATCTGAAGACCACAGAGTAAAAACATAAATAAAATTTAAAGAAAGCCTCAAGAACTTGTTGGACATTATCAAATAATCTAATGTACATATTATAGGAGTTCCAGAAAGGGAATACAATGAGGCACAAAACATCTGAATAAATAATGGCCAGAAATCCTCCAATTTTTTTTGGTGGGGGCGGGATACTGAGGATTGAACCCAGGGGTGCTTAACCACTGAGCCACATCCCCGGTCCTTTACATATTTTATTCAGAGACAGGGTCTCTCTGAATTGCTAAGTGCCTTGCTAAGTTGCTGAGCTGGCTTTGAACTCACAATCCTCCTGCCTCAGTCTCCCTAGCTACTGTGATTACAGGCATGTGCCACAACACCTGCTAGAAATCCTCCAATTTTGATGAAAAACATTGACTTACACACCAAAGAAAATTCAGCAAATTTCAAGCAGAATAACTGCCAAGAAAACCATAACTAGGTGCATCATAATCAACCTACTGAAAACCAGAAAAAATAGAATTGTGAAAGTGGCTAGGGTAAAAAAAGAAATCAAGAAAAAAAAAGCAATGTTGAAAAAATTTCCAGATTCTTTATCAGAAATAGAGGAGACTAAAAGGAAATGACTATTTAAATTGTTGAAAGAAGGGCTGGGATTGTGGCTCAGTGGTAGAGAACTTGCCTACCACGTGCAAGGCCCTGGGTTTGATCCTCAGCACCACATAAAAATAAATAAATAAAATAAAGATATTGTAAAAAAAAATAAATAAATTATTGAAAGAAAAAAACAATTATCTCAACCCTGAACTCTGAACCAATTACCTACATTTAAAAAATGAATATGAGGTAATGGCATTTTCAGGTAAACAAAGGTTGAAAGAATTTGTGAGAAGTAGACCTAACACTCTTCAGGTTAAGGGGAAAAGATACTATATGGAAATTTTGATCTACAGGACATAAAGAGAGAATCAGTAATAGTAACTAGGTAAATATCAACTATTAGGCTTGGTCTTCACATTATT